ATTAAGACTGCAATAGCATTATGTCTAAAAAGACCAATGTACATGCCTTAATTAAAAATACTTCATTGCTAAAAAGTCCTGCCTTCAGCAGCTCATAATCTTTATGAAATAGTAACATCAAAGATCTCTGATCGCAGATCACCACAGCAAATATAATAATGAACAAGTATGGAATATTGCTAGAATTACCAAAATGTGACAAAGACATGAAGTGAGCAAATGCTGTTGGAAAATGGAGCCAATAGACTTGCTCCACACAGGGCTGCCCCAAGATGTCAATTTGTAAAAAAGGAGTATCTAATTTCCAGAATATATAAACAGTTCATACAACTTAATAACAACACCACCAACAAAAACCCAATCCAAAAATGGGCAGAAGACATAAATAAGCAATTCTCCAGTGAAGACATACAGATGGCCAAGAGGCACATGAAAAAATGCTCAATATTGCTAGTTATCAGAGAAATACAAATCAAAACTACAATGAGGTATCACCCCACACCAGTCAGAATGGCCATCATTCAAAAGTCTACAAACGATAAATGCTGGAGAGGATGTGGAGAAAAGGGAACTCTCCTACACTGTTGGTGGGAATGTAGTTTGGTGCAGCCTTATGGAAAACAGTACAGAGATTCCTCAAAAAACTAAAAATAGACTTACCATATGATCAAGCAATCCCATATATCCAGAGGCAACTCTAATTCTAAAAGATATGCACCCCGATGTTCATAGCAGCACTATATACAATAGCCAAGACATGGAAGCAACCTAAATGCCCATCAACAGATGACTGGATAAAGAAGTTGTGGTATATTTATACAATGGAATACTACTCTGCAATAAAAAATTAAATAATGTCATTTGTAGCAACATGGATGGACCTGGAGATCATCATTCTAAGTGAAGTAAGCCAGAAAGAGAAAGAAAAATATATAATATCACTCATATGTGGAATATAAGAAAAGGAAAAGAGGACACTAACAAACTCATCTACAAAACAGAAACAGACTCGCAGACATAGTAAACAATCTTATGGTTACTGGGGGAAAGAGGGTGGGAAGGGATAAATTTTGGAGTTTGAGATTTGCAAAGGTTAACGACTATATAAAAAATAGATAAAAAACAAATTTCTTCTGTATAGCACAGGGAACTATATTCAATATCTTGTAATAACCTTTAATGAAAAAGAATATGAAACTGAATATATGTATATATATATGCATAATTAAGACACTGTGCTGTATACCAGAAATTGACAATTGTAACTGACTGTACTTCAATTTAAAAAAATGCAGTATCTGCTAAATGCAATAAAGAGAACTGCAATGAAATGAGCTAGGTGTGTATTCTTGAAACACACCTGACACTGAGATTACATAACTGCACAAGCCATGGTTCTTACATGTCACTTCTGTGCCATGGAAGGAAGCTCCCTATAACCTGTTCTCTGGTTTTCCATGAATGCAGTATTTTAACACAGGTCACAGGTGTCGATTTTCATGGGTTCAGAGAAACTCTTCTGATAAGAAGAAACCATGTCATGCAGGCACTAGGTATAAGGGGCCCCACTTCTCTCCACAGTCTCCACTCCTCCCTGCACCACAAGGGGCCTCATGCACATGCCTATGGCCACTCCAGTCCACGTGTCCCCACTCTGCCTGAAGTCTGCAAACTGCTGCCCCTTAGGCTTGGGGTGAACACACAGGCGCACAATCTGCTGTTAGGAGGAAGGAATGAGAAGAGCCCATGCGGTTCCCGTTTAGTCAGGGAATTCCACAGTCCTGAGTGTTGCTGGGGAGGGTGGGGGTCTCGGGCTCTGTGTGTCTCCTTGCGCCCTGGGTTCTGTGCCCCATCAAGGGAGGTATGACTGGAGCAGGGTCAGCGCAGGCTCCTCTAACGCATAGGACCCAAGCCAGGGGCCCCTCTTGCCTGGGTCTAAGGCATTCACTGTAGCCACCCACATCTTGATTCTATAACCTTTAAAGAAATAGGTATAAACAACCCTTCCTCTGCATGAGTACATGGGCATACCTGACTGGATACTGAGCAGCAAGAATCCAATACTTCCTTCCATGCGGGAGGCACCTGGTTAAGGGCACTTAACCCTCCCTTATCAGACAAAGACAAGCCAAGTCATCTGGCCCTATGTTACACCAACTACTGCTACAACTGGAGTCCAGACTTATGAGGACTGTCCTAAATTAATTTCTACCCGGAAAGCCAACTCCTTCAAGGAACTTACAGCCTGAAAAATAAAATCCCCAAATAATTACAAACAAGATAGAAAGCAGCATTATGTTTGTTTTTGTTTTTGTTTTTTGTGGGGGTAGGATTAGGCTTGTTTGTTTGTCTGTCTGTCTATTTAATGGAGGCACTGGGGATTGAACCCAGGACTTTGTGCATGCTAAGCCTGCATTCTACTACTGAGCTATGCCCTCCCCCTAGAAAGCAGCATTATGAAATTTATTAATAAGATGTTACTCTAGAAATAATGAGGGAGGAAGCTGGGATTACTTTCTGCAGGGGGTACCAGAAGGGGACATTTGAGTCAGGCTTTGGAAGATAAGTAATATATTAGCGTTTCTCATGGCTACAAAATGTTAGTTTTGAATCAGTTAACTTGTGATTTCTTTAACATTCCACGAATCAAGTTGATTCCCAGTTCCTGTATGACATAACCCACTAAAAAATTTGTATTTCCAGGAAGTAGACTGTAGTCTTTTTCTCTTCAAGAAATACAAAAAATAAATACCAGTTCGGTCTGAAAAACCTGTGATTTCAAGCCTTCATATGTCACCATGTGTGTGTAAACCAATGTATCCCTATAGAAATGCATTTTTCCTTAAATAGAAAAATATAAAACAGTGGGAAATTTTTTTAATGCAGCACCCTACAGAAATCATAGCTTTTATTACTGACATTAAATTCCAACTCTTGTTCTTCCAAATTACGTCTGAATTTGCTCCAGTGTCTCTCCCAGTTGCCAGTATCTTTTACTTTATGGCACCAAAAGAAATGTAGAGTATGCAGTACAAACTAGATACTGAAAAATCACGAATTTATGATTGCTTTCCCCTTTTCTGTATGAAATCATTTGTCTACCTTTTCCTGTCTGAACATATCAACTTTCAGCAAGAATGGAATGTTAATTGGTGTTACACACAAGCTGGGCTATCGTTCCTCAAATTTAATAAGGAAAAAAAAATCAAAACAAACCCAACTGGGTTTCCTGTTTTTATTTATGGTTTTTAGTGCCCAGTTGGGGGGATCTCAGTTATGGCTCATCCTTCCCTCAATTACCATGCCCAAGGAGAGCAGTTCCTTCCATCTGCTCTGCTGATGACTGTCCGCATCACAAAACCTATTCAAGCTTCTCCCTAGGGCCCTGAAACAACACGGAAACTACTTCCTAGGGAAGCTGCAGCCTACCTCACCCTTCCCACTGGGGAAACACACGGACTCAGCCCTTTCTGGTGTGATTATATAAGAACACAAGGTCTCACTTGACCCAACCCAAATCAGAAATGTAGTCTTTAAACACCATCTTGTGCCCTGTCTTCTCAAAAGTGTCGGTGTAGGCTGGGCAAAGAGGAAACAAGAATTTCTCTTTCAACAATGGTGACACATTCTAAGGAATCCTCTGTAACAATTCTAATGCCCTAGGTAAGGTATATAATGTTGGGAAAGTATGTGGTCTTACATGTCCGGGGTCTAGTATCTATATCTCGGGGGGGAAGCAGAATACTTTTGCAAATTGAATGTTTTTCTAAGGCAAGTTATCTCTCTCAGAGAATTTCCAACTCCCCTCCTGAATTTCTACTTCTCAGCTGAGGCATTACTGGAATTAGGGGAAACAATTCTTTGTTGCACAGAATATTAGGCTCCTTGCAGCCACCCCCATCCTCCAAGATGTTACGATGACCAAAGATGCTGTCATACCTTTCTTAACAACGCTCCCCACCAGGGCAGTGCTGCCCTTGACCGAGAACCACTGAGAGATTAAAGACTGACTATATGTGGAAAATGACATATTGACCCAGGAGGGTTCTTTTACTTAAGGCTTAATCTAATACTCTGAGGGCAATCTTTGTAGTCTTCATGAAATTAAAAGGGATACTTCACATTAACTTCCTGCCTCAACTAAGTAGCACCGCAAAGGGACATTCCCTGACTTAAAAAAAAATCTATGCATGAATTCACTGCATGTAAAACAGGTCCTTCAAAGACAAAGGGTGATAGTGCCTACTCCCAGGCTCCTCTTTGTATATTCTGGGTGCAGAATTTCACAAAAATTCATCTCAGAAACAATGAACTATAAGGAGAAACAGAAGCTAACGAGGCCAGTAGCTATTATGGTTTTGTGTTGGAATGAGACAAAAAAACAGACTATTATAACTGTCATTCTTTGCCAAAGTAGAGTCCTTGGGTTTACTCTTTGTATTTTGGCTTGGATGAAGCCTTCACCCGGCAGGGTGGTGCTACTTATTCATGGATCATCCAAGTTCACTGTAAATTTAATTTCTTCTGCACAGTCGGCACCACAGCTTCAGAGCAGTGCTTCTTCCACACATCTGTGCAGGTACGCAGCTGTTTCTCAAGCTGGGATACAGGTCAACATTCCTGGTGCTCTCTCCTCCCTGACCTTGAGCTGTGTCTCCCCAGACACTATATATGCAGCTCTGAAAACAGTGGTTATGGCAAAGAGCCATATGGCAAAACGGTTTGGAAACTTGTAACTGATTCCTTTCTAGTGGCTAAGATGCAACAGTCTATTTCTGCAACGGGTTCTGTCCACATTGTTGTGGACATGTGTGCCCGGATGTGTCTGCAGTTGTAAGGAAAATGCTTTCCCCCACCCTTTGCTATATAAAAAGAGCAAAGACGTTCTGTCCACCAACTGACCGCAGGCAGTAATAACATTAAGGGCATGGAATGGGTGCAGTTTGTCATTCAAAACAGGAAACATAAGTTTAATGAAAGAACAGCACTTTCTCACTCACCACGGAGGTAAGAGCCATCTGAAAACTGTAGATGCGGGCAAGGCCGAAGTCAGCCAGTTTTATTTGTCCACTGCTGGTCACCAGAATGTTCTGTGGTTTTAGATCACGATGCACTACTCGGTGAGAATGAAGAAAGTCCAGACCTCGGAGAAGCTGAAACATCATATCCTAAATAAAACCAAAAAAGAAAATCAGTACACGGTCAAAAACAAATTCAACACGTTGAATCTTCAGCACTGAGAAGAGTGCTTGGCACACAAAAAAGCATTCGATAAATAGTTGCTGAATGAATGAAGTTGTCTCCGTTCCTACTGCCCTACTCTCCCATTCTCAAGATCACTACAAAAATTTTCACTCTTGACCTGTAGTTTACTAAGAAAGGACAATTTAAAAATAGTTTCAGATGGCATAAGAAATATTCTGGAAGGATATATACCAAACTGGTGTCCATGGTTAATGATGGGGAGAAGTAGTAATTGGTGAGAGAGGGGCCCTTTTTACTTCATATGCTTTGCTATGATTTATTTCAACAATGTTACTTCAACAATTAAAATCCAGTAAGTGAGAATAATACAAACGGTAGTTCTTACTATTTTTACAGCACCTAATACTAAGCAATCACTATGTGGCAAGCACTGTTCTAAACACTTTCTGCTTAGTAACTCACTTAATCCACACTGCAACGTTGAGGTAGATAATATTATTAACCCATTTTACAGGTCAAGAAACTGATACCCGGTAGGTGTACGTAATTAGCCCAAAGTAACACCACTAGCAAGAGACAGAGTCCTGATCTAAACCACAGTTCAGGAAAAATGGACTCAAATACCCAATGCCTTCCTTTATTAGATCAATGATCGAATGAGTATATAAAACCAGGTAAGCCGTTTACCTTCACCAAGCCTCAGTTTTCCTGTCTGTAAAAACAGGAAAGTACCAAAACCTACTTCACAGGATCATTGTAAAGCATTCAGCACAGCAATAAGCATCCAATAAGCAATTACTTAAGTATTAAGTAAGCAGGGAGAAGGGGGGCATTCGGAAAATAAACCAATGCCACATCTTTTTCTAATTTTAGAACTGATAAAATCAGATACAAGATTTAAAACACAGAAACAGTGTCTGAAAGTAGGAATTTAAGATCTTGACCATGACATGATCCTCTGAAATCTGGGGTCCGTAAGACTGACCTACCTTCCCCCCAAAATATTGTAAGAAGAGTGCGTACAAGGGAAGACGAAATAATTTTGTTCATCTAAGGGTAAGAGAAATGATTAGGCAGAACCAGGGGCTTCAGAGCTGATGGGGCCATGAGGACACTTCTGTTCATCAGCTGGACCACATTAGGTTATTGGTTTACAGTACTGGTTCTTCCTTCAGGGTTGGGAGTTCTGTCTTCACATCCTGGCTTATTTAAAACCAAAGCCTTAGTTTCTCATCTCTAAAAAGGAGAGAATAGTGTTTATTTTCGTCATATGAGATTTAAATGAAGTAATGCATGTAAAGAGGTAGTGCAGTTTCTGGCACATGGTAAGCACTCAACAAATGATCACTGAACTGTCCTGTTTCCTGGGGGACACAGGATCACAAGCACCTAGAAGAAAATGTGGCCAGTGCCACAAAGTTAGTGAACAAAGCAATAATAGAGGATGTGCAAAGACAGAGGTGTGCTACTGGAATTCTTTTTAAGATCCACCTAAATGGATCAGATGAACTGGCCGGGGTTACCTTCTAAGTGTCCAAAGATGAAAACTCCGGAAAAGACTGCACTGTCCAGGGACAGTCCTTCAAGCCTTAAGAACCACTGAGGGTCAAACGACTTGCAATGAAAAAACACGAGTGTGAAAATGAAGCACTAAATGTCAGCGAAAGCCATCTGCTGGGGCAAATAAGTTGGAAACACATGCACACGACTTGTAAGCAGTGGGTTTTAAACAGCATGACTAACCTCATGCTGGCCTGTCATCTTTAGCTTCTTATACAATTTAAGCACCAACCATTTAAAACAAAGAATAAATGCACTTGGTTCTTGTTTCAGTGTTCAGACAGTTTAAATAGCCAATTAGTAGAATAAATATGTAAAAATTTGAACAAATTAATTACTAATAAGGCCCATCTAAATTTATAAAAAGCCGGAACTACTGAATTTAAATATATGTGTATTGCTTTATTTGTGTATTTATAAAGCACATACTACATTCTTCTTCATTACAAAATTGGTACATGCTTAATGCATACAGAACCTTATAAAATTTTTTATAAATCCAGAGGAAGAACAAAAATCATTCAAAATCCCACCACTCAGAGGACAGAGAAAAAACTACACTGTTAAATAACTTCTGTCTTTCTCACCTTTAAAAGGGATACTGCTATATTTATAGGTATAAATATATTATGTTTCTATATAATATATAAATATTATGTTATATATAATATGTATTATATCAAATATAGTATTAATATATAAATATAACATATTTATAAATAAAAATTGTTATTACTCTGTATACTTTTTGTGGTTGTTTTAAAAACATTTAACAACTCATTATGAATATTTTGCCATTCTTCTAAAATACAACATTTTTATACCATATGGTTTTTAATGGCTGCATAGTTTTCCTCCCTATACCATGATCATTATTATTTGCTTTTAGTTGTGTCATTTTGGAACTTATACTAAGAGTCTAGTTCTCCTTTGTTTAAAGGCTACAGTAGATGAAAACAACTTGTTAACATCATATAAAAACATCGTTTAGGCAGCTGGACCCCATATACCTGCACTAACACTAATTCCATGTAAATGACACAATGGATGTATAAAGTTAGTTCTACGTAAGAATTACCACTCTTTAGATTGTGTTAGGCTACTATAAATTTTTTTTTGGTTGGCAAACTGGGTTCTCTTTTAAACCTGCAATATCCAGCTACAATTAGAGTTTTGAGCTAGTGCACTCTTAGCTAATACTTTTTTTAAATGGCCAAAGATCTCATTTCCTTCAGCAATTCAATTGTAGAGTAGGCTGATGAGCATTATGGAGTTGTAATAAAGCATGACTTGGGGACCCCCTTCCATCTTTAGTCATCATTCATTGGAACACCTAATTGGAAAAGGGAAATATATACAGCTATGTCAGGAACTGTGGTCACAGATAAGAATGAGAACCCTGGCCCCAATTCCTGAGAATGATATGAATGAATAAACTGTAAACACTAAATAAAGTAAGAAAAAAAAAAAAAAGAAAATCACCTTTCCTTCAGAATCACAAGAAGTGCTTTGATCAAAGACATTTCAAAGGATTCTCTACTTCAGCTTATTATCTGTCCTTTCTCAATTTATAGTATCGTGAGACATACTTTTAAATTAGCTCCTCAAGATTTTAATCTAAATTAATCTGTTTTATATAAGACTCAAATATTTTGTAGTAATCCTAGTGATGTAATGCAGTGAAACTACGGATACTGCCAATTAAGTTAAACATAGGTTTAAAACCATTTTATGTTACAGTGCACAATTCTAGCATAAAAGGTTTCAACATCTAGTCACACTAATGATAAACAGTCACTGGGGGCCCTTACTCTATCTTTCTGAAACGTGTCGTGGAAGCATGTTTCTACAGGACACCATCCATGGAATGAAGTCTGGCTCCAGTGACTTTAGATGGGGTTTTTGTCCTTGGCAACTGCCCTGAAAAGACTCTGGATTTCAGTCTGAATGAACACCAGAAATTTTTAAAGCCTTGTGATTGTTTCCTTTAGGTGTTCTAGAGCTCTAATCCTCTTAATTTCTTGGAAAACAAAAACAAGCCAACTGAAAATCTACCTCAAGCTTTTCTAATGGGAAAAAATTTTATCATTGGGTCTTTTTTTCCAAGTATAAAAATGTATGATTAGTTTCAAAAGATACTAAAAACACAATTTATACCATACAGTAAATCACAGAAATGACAGCTCTCAAAAGGCATTTCTGGATTTTTGGATGTATCTACCTAATCTAAGCAATATATTCACATCAAGGTTTTAGCAACAAAAATGCACATCCGTAGTTTATTTTAAAATGAAAAACAAGACATATACAACTTGTACAAGGCTAATCATTTTTTTCTCATTATAAACTACAGTCTTTTCAAATTCGTTACTGACAGAAGTTTTGACAGAAGTATCTTTGTAACAACTTGCTGTTTCTTACAAAGATCTCCTACCCAGTTAATTTCTTATGAAGATGTTAGAGGAATTTAAGAGGTCAATACAAGAAAGTTCTTTTTACACTAAACTGATAACATGTTGACTTAAGGTAGGGATTGTAATTATAGGAACAGAAGCAAAAGCTCACGCGAGCCTACACGTAAAGGGTGATGATAAAGTCATAAAGAAAGCAGAGGACTACTGGCAATAATGAGGGCTAGTCCCAGCCTTTTTTTTTTTCTGATTAGTAATACACATTTTAAAAATTTAATTGTGGTAAAATACACATAAAATTTTCCATCTTAACCATTTTTAAGTGTATAGTGTGGTATTAAGTATATTCACACTCTTGTGCAACCAATCTCCAGAATCTTTTCTATCTTGCAAAACTGAACTCTATTCTATACCCACTAAATAGCTCTACATTTCTCCCTCCCTCCCAGACCCTGGCAACCAACCACTCTTCTATGTTTTGTTTCTATGAATTTGGCTACTCTAGGTACCTCATATAAGCGGAATCATAATCTTTTTGTGACTGGTTTATTTCCTTTAGCATAATGTCCTCAAAGTTCACCCAAGTTTTAGCATGTGTCAGAATTCCCTTCCTTTTTAAAGCTGAATAATATTCCTTTGCATGGATATTCCACATTTTGCTTATCCATTCATCTGCTGATGGACATTTGGGTTGTTTTCACCTTCTGGCTATTGTGAATAATCTGCTACAAATATAGGTGTATATATATATAAATATCTCTTTATGACCCTGCTTTCAATTCTTTTGGATTCACATACCCAGAAGTGGAATTGCTGAATCTAGTCCCAGGATCTTTTAAAATTACAGTTCTCCTGTAAAATGTGGTACAGTATTACTACATAAGCAACGAAATAGTGAATAACAAAGCCACGTTTGGGTCCTGGAGAGTCAAGCAAGTGGGTTCATTCACTCACTGGCAATTTCCCTCACTCCTTTCACTTCAGTCCTCAGG